GGATAGAGATTTGGTTATCTGATATAGTGTCCTCAGTTTCCTTTTGCCTGCTGCCTTTTCAGCTTCAGTGGCGAGATTGTCGTAGAATCGTCTTTTGTCCTTCCTAGCGCTCTCCTTCACTTCTTTGTCCAATGTTGTGTAAGTTGAGCTCAGCGTCTCTCTCTCTCTCTTGCCCGTCCTTGCATTGAATCATTTTCTCTTTCACCATTCTCCTCTCCTCTATTAGTTTCCAAGTGTCCGTTGAGAGCCATTCCTTGTCTTGTCTCTTCTTTCTTCCTAAAACCGTTGAACACGTTTCGTTGAAAATCGCCTTCAGAGAGTTCCAATGGTCTTCCACGCATGATTCTTCAGTGATGTCGCGTAGTGTTTCCTGCTTTGCTCTGACAGTTGCAGTGAAAGTGTCTTTTGTGGTTGTGTCCTTCAGTAGTTGAGTGTTGAACTTGCATTGTGGCCTATCCCCAGCTATCCTCGAGGCTTTTAGTTTCACCTTGAAAGTCCCTTGTACTAGATAGTGGTCTGAACCCACATCTGCTCCTCTCCTCGACCTTGTGTCCAGTAGGCTCCGTCTCCACTTTCTTGAAATTGAGATGAAGTCTATTTGGTTCTTGGTGTTTCCATCTGGTGAAATCCATGTCGTCTTGTGTATTTCCTTGTGTTTGAAAACGCTGCCACTAATCACCAAATCATTGAAGGCGCAGAAGTCTGAGAAGAGTTCACCATTGTCGTTCATTTCGCCGAGGGCCTCTCGACCCATGGTGAGTTCTCTTCCTGTGTTGTCTCCTCCCAGCTTCGCATTCATGTCACCCATCAGGATTTTGATATCGCCATTTGGGACGTTGTCCATTACTGTTTGTAGTTGTCTGTAGAACGCCTCCTTCTTCTCTTGTTCTGAGACGTTTGTAGGCGCATAGCATTGAATGACTGTAACCTTCCTTCCTTTTGAGTTGAACCTGGCTGTCATTATCCTGGAGGAGATTGGTTCCCACTGCATGAGAGCTTTGGCTGCTGTTGGTGACATCATGATGGCCACTCTCTCGGTGTACTCGTGGTTGTCCTCTGGGTGACTGGAATAGATTATTGTCTCCCCAGTTGGTAGTTGGCATCTACCACATCCGTTCCATCTGCTCTCACAGATTCCCAGCACTTCTGTTCTATATCCCCTCATTTCTGCTGCTACCTGGGCAGCCTTTCCAGTTTTGTACATTGTATGAACATTCCATGTTCTCATCCTTATTTTTGCTTTCATCGGAAGAAGGCACGTCGGCTGACTGGCTTCCCGAAGGCTTTCACCAGCCTGCGTCATTTCACTTCCCCGATTCCAGCTAAAAATAAGGTTACTGTTTATATTTTTAGAATTTTTAATATATCTGTGCATTGAAGTTTCTGTAGCGATTTGGTTGTTTTACGGGGGTGGAGTTGCTAGCACCACGCCACAAACCTCCCTCTTTATCCGGGCTTGGGACCGGCCAGAAAACTAGCAAGCTAGTAGTCTAGGCGAGGTTAATGAACCAGTAGTAAATAAAATAATAAAATAAATTCGTCTAATCCTCTGCAGTCATCAATTGAAGACACTCAACAAGAAATACGCCAAATTGTCATACTCACGGACATGAATGTAAAACACACTACCTAGCACGAAACTAAAGGAGAAAAGAACTCAAATGAACGAACAGTAGAAGTGATATTATTACACCAACATCTGACCTTGAAGCAACTGTCAAGGAAAAGTGAACTATACGGTGAAACACCGGAAGTTCATCACAGAGAAACAGCTCATAGAAAACTTCATCCGAAAAGTAGACAGCCTGTAGAAAAAACACCTCGGAAATAAATCATGCCAGAAGATATCATGACACAAGAATAGTAGCGCATGAAATCTAATGGTACAGGATTTTTCATAAAGTGACATCGGTAACAGAACTATTGGAAAGCCAACGAGGAAGTACTGGACAGCTGTTTCGTTTTAGTTTGGGACTTCTCAGCAGTGCACACCCACCGCTAGGTTTCGAAACTAGGACCTCCTGGTTACAAGTTGAGGTCCTAGACCATTATACCACTAGGATATCTTCCAGTGGTCCATGAGTTCCAACTTATGCCGATTCATGATATGGCACCACCACTAGCCAGTGTCATCGGCGAGTACTGTCCTCACGCCTGACCTGCTGTACCGCACTAGTCACGACTTCTCACAAGAAACTAAACTAGGACGAAGTAGCTGTTTAGTACTCCCCGGTTTCCCAATGGTACTCTAGCCAATATCAACTCATGATGAAATCCTTCAGCCAATCAAATCCTTGGAAAGTAACATTTGAAATCTTATCATATTATTATTTCCTTTAATTCTTAGATGGGGCTTCAGCCACACGTCTCCATTTCATTCGCTTCTCCGCTAACGTTTTCACCTGGCTCCAAGTCTGCCCACATGCTTTCATTTCCCCTTCATATGACCTCCTCCAAGTCACTCTTGCACTGATGAACAACTGAGCTGCTTCCCTTTCGGGTTCCACTCGAGTGATGGCTTGTCTAGTGGTGTCACTTGATGGTTTCCTTAGAGTGTGGTCAATCCACCTCCATTTCTTCCTGTTTATTTGTTGCACAATCGGTTCCTGCTGGGTTGGTTCGCTCCCAGAGATCCCTTTGAAATCTAATGTAGCCTTTTCAACTCGATTTTACAATAGGCTGAAATTTCACAACCCCTTTACAACCAATTGTCTTGCTTCCAAGAACACTGTAGTGGAATTTCTAGGTAGCAACAACTAAAATATCGGATAGAACCTTATTGTAATCCTATCGAGTTTCTCTCTCAGTTTCTTAAGAAAATCAAAGATAATGATGGAATTCTGGTACGTTACTGAATTGCACATTCTACATGCTTTAAAGCTGACATGGGGAATCATGAAACAGCTACTGAAATACGATGAATAGTGCTATAAGTACACAAAAATACAACGATCAAGTCGGATGGAGCTCATACATTCATGTCTTGTAACCTACTTTAATTTCAAGAACAAAATATATGAACAGATAGAAGAAACATCAATGAAACTGTCTACATCATGACTAATTGTTGACAGCTGCATGACAAGACTAGGCACTATATATATACCGATAGTAGAAACCGAGAACTACATGAATTATACATTCCCAGGAGCCAGAAAACACTTCCAAATTAACTAACAGCGTTCTGGATGATAAGAGATTTACAAGAGAAGAACAATCAGAGGAAAAAATTCGATGTTTACAAGTCTTAGTCAGATGAATCCAGACGATATGAAGGAAGGTTAACCCACATACACCAATGGTTCAAATAAAAAAGCAAAAAATCAACAGCACACATAGAAAGCTGTGTGAAAAACATTATTGGGAAGATCCATATACACTGCACCAATCATGTCTTGAGGAGAATGGGAAGAAAGCACTTTAGGATGATCATCAAGAAAAATAAATGGTTAAGGAGTTCCATTCAAAGATGTCTACCTTAAATATAATCGATCAAAACAAAATTATGCTATGACGCCTATGAAGAATATTTCTGAAGCCAGTATAAAGCTACTAAAACCTTTTGAAATAGATGTGGCCCACAAAGCAACACTATCCCTTGGCTGAATATTATCTGCAAGTAAAGACACAATAACAAAAGATCACTAATATAATATCATATATTTGATGTAGTTGTGTTCTGTGAGCTGAATAGTTTATTTGCTAAGCTTTCATCACCCTACCAGGCAATATCTTCAGTGCATACTTCAATTCGAAGTGAACGTTTAGATTTCTCCACGAGTTTATTAGTCATCTCTTCTGGTGACAAAATTAATCAGCCTTGAAAGATACTGCATTGTTTGAAATGGACAGTCCTTTCATCTGTACATCTAAGAATACAAAGTAGGAGTCGAAAGACACAAAATATACTCATATCAGTGCATGTGGACAACTTCAAATATCGATTTCAATTAAAAATCTTGCAAAGAGGAAGGCTCAGATGAATTTGGAATTAACAGGTATCTTGATTTATACCAAATTTATCAACTAATGAAAAATAAGTTACACGATAAAAAATGACCAGTACGAACACAGGTGAATACAATGACAGGAAAATCACAGCCATAGTCACCAAGAGAATAAGCTGTTTCTGCAATTCCACTTCATTTTGAGGTCGGAAGTGAAGATCTTGACTAAAAAACAATAAAAACCTCACAATCAAACCCTGAAGATCAAAGAAAACAACAACACCAAAAGCGAAATTCTGTGCCTAAAGTATTTTGATTTTTCAGCTGGAAACGATATGAAATTTCACATTATGAAGTCTGCCTCAAAAGAGAGAAGTTGCTATGACGTTTCTAGTTTATTTCTGTGGTGAGCATAAAACTCCGGACAGATATGAACTATACTACACGGTTGGAGACAACCTACAGGAAGCCTACCACCTAGGTTTCGTACCAGTTGGCACTCGCAAGTCAGCTAGGCCTATCTGCAACCTTGAAGGAACTCATGTCCCTTCTGAGATTCGAACCCGCGTCACTCAGTGCTACAGTCAGAGATGCTACCACTGAGTTATTCAGGCTAGCGACTGACCTCGTGTAGGACAGTATTGGATATTTTGATTGGACACAATGCAAACTTGACTGATAGAATTCAGTCTACGCCAAACAAAGGACTATACACATCACACTGGTCACTGACCATTGTCCAATCAAAGCATCCAATACAGTCAATCACGAACCTGAGTAGCTCAGTGGTTACATCTCTGACTGCAGCAATGAGTGACGCGACTTTGAATCTCAGAAGAGATATGAGTTCCTTCAAGGCTGTAGATAGGCCTAGCTGACTTGTGAGTGCCAACTGGTATGAAACCTAGGTGAAAGGCTTCCTGTGGCTGATTACTTCTAACCATCTAGTATCAACAATTCAAACCGCACCGTGATGACAAGTCATCTAGAATGCTGGTCACATTGTAAACTTGACTGATAGAATTCAGTCTACACCAAACAAAGGACTAAACACTTTACATTGGTGTCCAATCAGATGTGAACTATTCATCATTCTAGTCAGTGATAAATATATATACTTGTTTCCGTTTTGGACAATATAATTTATCAAGTGAAATTTACACTTCCTTTCACCAGAATTCAGCCTAGTGAAATGGAACAAAAAACAAAACGTAATGAACAAGACAATTTCTTCTAATTTCTTTATTCACAATATATTCTCTATACACAGATTATGTCTTCTTATAATGGAGCGTAAAAAAAAACAATGCAAATATGTTTAACTCTTCATTTAACAATTCAATGCAGAGTCAGTAAATGAATCGATCATTTGATGTATAGAAATAAAAAAGGAGAATAAACAAGAGAGAGACTGAGTTATCAAGTATGAGAGAAGAGATGGATGAGTAAATAGGAGGTGAAATTCGTTGTGAAAATTACCACTATGATTTTTTGGGGTGTGTGTAAAAAATCTCAGTTGACTGAAGAGAATCAGAATACAAAAAGAAAAAAACAAAATCATATTTTGAATGGATACAAAAAATACTACTGATATTAAACTGCATGTGAGTAGTATAAAATTATTTATCTTTATGTTCACTCTTATCTTCTTCACTTTCATCTGGTTCATACGCAATTTGAATATTACGAGGAGTGTTTTCGCCATTTCTATGTTCCATTGATGACAAGACCGAAGGTGATGATGGTGATGAAGACCGAGGTGAGGATGACGATGACGGGGATGGTGATGATGACTGTAGTGAAGACTGGGGTGATGAATGTGAATGTGTTTTTCCACAAAAGCATGAACGACATGATGGATGTAAGCTTTTTACAGATTCCGAGTACATAAGATTATCAATAGTCGCGAGAATTCCACCGACTATAACTAAACTTCCTACAATATATACTTGTATATGTCTATAAGTTAATTGAGGTATAAAAATTTGTATGCATTGGATAAATAGACCGGTTAATATTTTATCAAAAAATGATGCAATCCCGTGAACAAATGCTGCTGTCTGTACTTGTTTAACACCAATCAGTGTTGTAATCACAACTAAAGCACGTACATTATTGATAGTATTACCGATTCCTAGAATAGCTGCTGCAAAATAGATTGCTATAAGATTTTCTTTGGCTGATTTCAAAAGGTGTGCTATCACACAAAAGCACAAGATGAATGGAACACCAAAAACTGGGCCTATCTGTAATCAGAACAAGAAATGTTATATAAATACACTTATTAAAACAAGTAGAGATAAAAGTATACACCACTTAAATATACTGCGAAATTTAAAAAAACGATCTTAAACTCCATAATTTCCTGATCTAAATGTAAATTAAGATGGATCATTTCATCAGAATTACTGACTTTATTTACTACAGTCCAACCTAATCGTTACATGACCATTTAATCATTGAAACCTAACATCACCAATAGCCTCAGTTTATGAAATAATAGAGAAGATTTGTAACTCAGGTAGATGATTTGCAATTAAGAGTGTTCTCTGAGCCGGTTGGTTTAGTTGCGGAGCTCAATACATACCTAAAGATGGTTACCGGGAGAGGCATTTATATCGCTCATGAAGAAATTTAAATCATTTCACTTTATTCTAAATACTGCGCTGAAGGTGTTGTCCAGAAAGACTACAAAAGCTCCGCAACTAAACCAACCAGCTCAGGGAACACTCTTAATTGCAAACCTCAGTTTATAACTAAAACAGTAACACACGTAAAAAATCCCAGTAGATTAAGGTTGTTTTAATTTCAGTAAATTGTTGTCCATGTCTTCGGCAGAGTACGTCATGATATATATATATATATATATATGTTTCATGCGTGTCGGTGGCGCAGCGGTTAGGACACTCTCCGACCATGCACATGGTCCGGGGTTCGATCCCCTGCCGACGCACACCTGATATCTATTGTCGGTCTGCAAAGTTTGGGCTACCGATATCACATGCTGAAAATTCCACACTTGTACCAAAAATACTGTGTGGTTTCAAGCTATAATCAAAAAAATATATATCTATTAGTCTGAAGGAGTTGCTTTTAAGACGTACTATGAGTGTACACTTCACATTCAACAACCATGATTACAGACAAATCGACGGTACTACCATGGGTTCTCCATTGGGTCGAATTTCGGCAGATTTCTTTCTTGTTAAGCTTGAAAATGGTCCATTGAAACTTGTAATAGATAAAACGGATTTTTATTTGCTTTATATTGATGAGACGTCTATCATTCTTGATGAGAAAGCTGACAAGAATGAAATGTTAGTAAAAATTTAATGATATACATCCATCGCTCATGTTCACATGTGAAGACGAACATGATGGTAGACTGCACTTCCTTGATGTCCGAATGAGCAGAAGAGAGGATGGTTCACTCAAGAGAGATGTCTATAGAAAACCTACATCTGTGGGACATTATACACATTTCATCACTTTTGTACCAATCCAATCCAAAATCAATTTGGTCAGATGCCTTGCGAATAGAGCAAGACGGATCTGTACAGATGACTCCCTAGAAAATGAATTAGGTTACCTCCAAAATACACTGGTCCAAACGAGTTATTGTAGTAAATCTGTAGGGACATATATGAACACCAGGGATAATAAAGAGAAACTGACAACTGTAAATGAAATTACAGTGGGGACGTGGCTAGTGAAGTCTTACATGTGGGATTATCGAGAGCAATAAAACGGACTTATATTGTCACCACCCTTCCTTTGTCATTTTCCAGCCGACCGATTTTGATTGCTCCTGTGAAAGATAAGCTACCCAGCTGTGCCACGTCGATGTGTATCAATAAATTTAGTTGCTCTTGCGGAGAAAGCTACATAGGGCGAACAACTAGACAGCCTAACAGACGCATTAATGAGCATCTCCCTTCCTCAGTGGTTCGGAAAAAGGCCAAATAAAATCTACAAGAAGTTCTATTTTGACTCGTTTGATTGATAGTGGTCACCAAGTGGACAGAAGTAGTGCCTTCAAAGCTATCTATCGCATTCCATTGAACCTTTCGAACGGAATTCGAACCCGTCTGTTAAACACCTAGCCGAAGCTACTGGAATTTATTCAAGAGAACAATCCTTGTATTTACATGAAAAGAAGTTTGTTCTACCTTTGTGTCTCTCTTGACCCAGTTAAATTTTAATTAAACACCTCCCACCCTTTCTTATTTTCCATTTCCTTCGTACTTTTATGATATTTATCTAAGCTCTGATTATCTGTCCACTTCACATTACGCAACTTTTAAGATGTGACCTAATTTATTTATTGAATTGTCTACATATACACATATATTACTATCATCGTTATTATTATCGCTACCTGCATAAGCCTCATTAACATTATTTTGTTGTCATTATAATCATCGTTGTTACTGACGTTCAAAACACTCAATACATTATTATTATTATTATTTGATCCACAAATTCACCGTCATTGGTTAAAATTTTTATAAATAAATCTATGCAAATTAGAGTAAAACTTGAAGAATATCTAATTGAAAACAATATTGTTCGCTTATACGTTTCGTTCTAAGCACAAATGTACCAGAATTCAAGAAATTAGGTAAACAGTTTGAGAAATAATAATAACGCCTACTTTACAATATTTCTGAATACTTCTAACTTCTCGATGTTTACTTTATTTAAAAGGATGTATCTTCTTAGTTAATCAGTTATCTGAACATTCATTTTAGATTTTCTGAACATGCTGAAAAGTTTACGATTTAGAGGAAGTAAATCTTTAGTCACTAGACTTATCCAACATGTAACCAGTACAGGACATGAGGTGAACATGGTGAATTCCTTTAAAATAATAAAAAAGCAAACAAGTTTATGTCTCTTGAAGATTTCAGACGCCATCACTATGAAACAGTTCAAACCTTACCTGTTTTCAAAAAGAAAATGTTTTAAGTCTCAATCTATCTTGATAACTTGGTTATTGAAGCTCAGCTGATAACATTATCCTTCATTAAATGTAAATTTTGGTTTCTCTGCATTTTAACTTCGTCACATGATTTACAATCCTAAATATCTAGTTGGTAGCAGTGCCTTCTTACAAGGAACTTCGATTATATTACATTTTTAACAATTACAGTTTATTATACTTGTCAAAATTAACATTTGTTTGTCTAATGCACTAAAGTATGTTAAAACTGTAGTAAAATTATTCTCTCTGATTATTCACGTTGTAAGCAGTTGACAAGATACAGACAAGATACAAATGATCTTCTTTTATCCCAATCTGTCTGTTGCTGTTGCTTTGTTCATATTAGTTCAGAATAAAATTGTGTGTGTGTAATGTTATTAGATGGATAGTGAATATTGGTGAAATTTTCGAAGTATATTTTTCATCTGTACGGGAACTCGTTACGTAGATGCACACACACACATGCACACACAAAACAACCAACAAAGCAAAGTCAAATGTATAAGTGAACAAAAGGCAGTGTTCGTCGGACAAGAAGACAGTCGCAAAGTTCACTAGTTATATTGTTTGAAATGAATACATTAAGTCTAAATCGTTAACATGTCCTAGTGTACTACTATTAGTTAAAAGGATCATTGTATGTATGATACAATTCATTCAAAAATCAAAAATTCAGTTATTTCTTATGATAACCTAAAAAGTATGAAAAAAAAAATAAAACGCAGAAAACTTGCTTACATAATTTCCCAGCAATTTTGTAACTCTTTGTACACCGACTGATGTGATTAAGCAACAAATTGTAGTAACCATTGGGACTGAAACCATTATACTCTTATCCATTTTCATTGTATGCAATAAAAATGGACTCATGTAAAGCTATAAAGTTAATTTTTGTGTGAAAAAAAAAACATAGAGAGATAAAAATAAGTAAGTTTTACCATTTATTTTTGTGCTTATAAGGAAGCATGCACAAAAAAAGTTTACTTCAGAAATACACATTAAGTACACCATCGCATACGGACTAAAAATGATATATAAGAGTATGTTAAAATGTTAAGACAAGATAATAATGGAATTCGTGATTTCAGCGTGACCATCAACCAATGTCATCGGTGGAAAATCCATCCTCACACCCTACTGAATTGACCTCACCGGTCATAAGTTCTCACTAGAACTCCAGGAAAATCCATCCTAGCGAGTATCAGATTAAATTTTCAAGAGGTGGTTTGTAAGGATTAGATTTGTTTTCCAAGTTTGACCACAGATTAATATCAGTTAGAGAACTACTGGGAACCAGGTAATACTTCCAGACGGCTATTTTGTCCTAGTTCGAGATTCATTGGCAGTATGCACCCACCATCAGGTTTCGAATACAGGACTTTTCGATTACAAGGCAAGCTTGTATATCATTCAGCCAGTGGGACCTCTGTCATATCCCTTCCTTTGATGGTTGTTTTTTTACTGTCGGTTATCTTCATCCCATCCGTCTTCTCTATGTTCACCTGGAGTTTCGTCTTTGCCGCCTGCCTCCTCAGTTAGTTTGTTGGTTTTCGTCTACCCCTCAGTTTTCGAGTTTGTGTGACATTAAACATAAATCATCCACTCGCGAAATACAAATCTTCTAGAGTCGTCTTATCGGTAGTCCAGCGTATTCCTGTCTACTTGCTCCCAGCGCATAGTCTGACGAATAATTCAGTCCATCACTAGGTGGATTAAAATAAGACTGGCTATATATTGAACGGAGTATAATTAACTTAACGATCTATACATTTGCAGCTGTTTCAGTTCATCAGTATTTTACGTTGTATTGTATAGCAACATTTTCTGATATCATGATGAAAATTATTATTACAATGTTACATACCTTTATGTGAACTTTAATCGACACCTTAAGCAATGGCTGTATAATTATTGATCGTTAGGCGTCCGATCTTCATATAGTATGAATTATACTATTCAAATTCTAGAGATTTTCATTGGTTAGCGTTCAGTTTTTCAATTTAACATTGTCATTTATTTTGGATACATTTATTATACCATTTTCTAATTTTGTTTTCGTTATACAAAAATAAATCATTAAAATATTTATCTGAAAGCTGACTTTAATTGGAACTTGTTTCAAAAAAATTAGTTTTAAGTACTTCCTTATAGGTGAAATCATTCATAAAAGTAGTACATGTGAATGTTTAGAAAAGAAGTGTTTAAAGTACCTTAAATGTTTATTTACTGTCATTAATTAAAAATGTTTATTTGTAAACAGGTTATACTTACCACGGAAACTGTTACACTAAGACGCATTATACTGAATGTAGAACAGCTCAACCAAAATCGTGGTAGACTGAACCATGCATACCAGGGTAAAGTTGTTGAAAGACTGTAAGTTCGTCTTCTCTTTGATTCTACTTTGAGTATTTTGGTGTCACTAGTATCATCATTAGAATCATTTTTTAAATGATTGTTGCTAATTGTATTCTTTTCAAAATGTTCATTGATTACATCTAAATTGAAAAAGAAAGAAAATATAACACTTTCCAAGTATTGCTTTTGCATGGATTTTGTTTGATGGCATGGAGGATTTCATCATGAGCTGACATCAGTTAGAGAACCATTAGAAAACCTGAGAGTACTGAACAGCTGTTTCGTCTTCACGGTTTGGGACTCTTCAGCAATATGCACCCACCGAGATTTGAATACAGGACCTTATGGTTACAAGATGAGCTCTTAGACCATTGAGCCACTGGGACCTGATCCAATGGTCTACGAGATCGCCTTATAACCAGAAGGTCCCGTGTTTGAGCCACAGTGAGCGCGAAGTGCTGAAGAGTCCCGAACTAGGCTAACGAAACAGCGGTCCAGTACTCCCAGGTTTTCCAGTGATTCTCTAACTGATGATGATTCTCATGATGAAATCCTGCATGCAATCAAAATATAACACATTGAAAATGATTTTAAATTTATAATATTAATTTGTTTAAAGTAAGCATAAGAACACCAATCGCCCAACAAATATGAAGGAGAAAGTGGAGATCAGTTGGACACTCGCTGAGGAGACTGCTGGGTGACATCGCGCGCGCGTCAGGCCATTGCTCGAGTGGAACCCGAAAGGGAAGCGGTGAGTGGGACGTCAATGCAAGGGTGACATGGAGGAGATCGTGTGAAGAGGAGTTTTTAACAGTGTGGACTAACATGGATGCAGGTGAAAAGTACAGCAGAAGACAGAAGCAAGTGGAGACGTGCAGTTGAAGCCTTATGTTCCACTAGGAACCCAAGGGAACAACAAATAATAAAACATAAAACATAAGAACAGCACAAAATTATAAAGCTTTCACAAAGATTAAAGAAAAACATTTAGATTTCTCATATTGAAGTATTGGTTTGTAGCGATTTGACTGACTCATTACAGGATTTCATTTTGAGCTGACATCAGTTAGAGAAGCATTAGAAAGCCAAAGACTAAGCAGTGTAAAGCTGTTTCGACTTAGCTTGTGACTCTTCATCAGTACTCGTCCCCGGAGTTCGAGCGCAGGACTTTCCGGTTACAAAGCCAGTTCTTAGACCATTAAGCCACTGGGACCTGATCCAATGGTCCATGAATTCCAACTTCTGCCATGACCACTAGCCAATGTCTTCGGCGAGTATCAGTCCTCACGCCTGGCTTTCTGAACATTACTGGTCGTGGCTTCCTACTAGAACCCCAGTAAACCACCTCCCTGAATAGGGCCAGTCGCTAGTAAGCATCTCATTGATATTGAAGTAGTTGCAGTCATCCCCCCACCCCACCGTTGCCATCTGAAACCACTTAAATATTTTTGAATATACACATTTTCACATAAGTTTGAACACGCAGATATCTGTAGGTGTTTGTCACTTGTATGAACATGACATATGTAGTACGAACAGAGAGCATTCATAGCTGGGATGTAATTGTTTGCCTCATTGAATCAAAGTAATAACAGACAACACCACATAACAATTAAATGTAATCCCTCGCACTTTTATATATCCTCAAACATGTCTCAAACTGTTATATAATAAACAGTGAGATTGAGTGATTCTCCTACAAACACCATAAAACTTGCCAAGTATGTGTCTAGAATTGAAGTTATAATAACAGCAAAGAAAACTCTAAACACAGCAGCTAACTATTCAAAGTTTAAACATTATGCAGCAGAAATTCTTCAGTGAGAAACTAACATTAGAAAACCTCACCAACTCTCTAGACGTTTCAACGTTCATTACAACAATTAGTCAATTCTTATAGAGAAGACAGTAGAGCCACATAATGAAAACTCACTGACCTTTTACTTATATTCAATTTCATCTGATTGATTCACAAAAGTTTAGAGGTCTTAAGTGTTAAAATCAAATCAACAGGATTATAGAAACTGATATATATATAAGATAAACAGCTATACATTTTGTCGACTATATAATTTATGGAAGAACAGTCTGTAATACACTGAAATATGATGTGGATGTATCTCTTACTGATCTCTTGGGTAATTCCGGTGTTTTCAATCTCTTCTTCTTACAAACATTGAGTTGGTTTATTTTCATTGTCATAGTAGTCACAATATTAACTTCTGTTCTTCGGATATTACAACTAAAATTTATGTTCGTAGGATTTCAGATACAAGTTCTCAAAAAATTTACTTACGATTATGGTGTAAGCTTAGAACCTTCATTGGAAGGATATAAACAACTAAATGTATCACAAGACTAGAAAAAAGGGTCTCACAGAGATAAACTGTGGTGCTGTAATCTGATACGTGTATAGTGAAGAAAGTGCAAACAAATTCTAGTGGATCTGAACTGCATTCATTTGGGAATCGTTAAGCGTTTCCTGAGTTTTACAAATCTAATCGTGCCTTTTATTACCTGTTCCTGTAGGATATTGATCACCAACTTCATTAAAAAGCTAGTGAACTATTGTTTTGGCTTTTAAAGTAGAGTGTGTACACAAATGTTATTACTTCTGTTTATTCAGATATAGAGTTCAATTTTTGTCTAAAATACTGTTTAGCAGTTACTGTAAAAATGAGACATATTATGTTCTTGGATCGTGGTTAACGATAGTTCTATCAGCACTGTGTAACTGTTCCAGAAAATTAGCACTGATGAATTGCTTTTACAGCTTATCTTGTGCTCCGGTGGCATAGCGGTTAGGACGCTCGCCGACCATGCACATGGCCCGGGGTTCGATCCCCGGACGACGAACTCCTTTACCTCGCTAAGCAAGAAATAATGCTGGTAAAAAGGAAAGTTTCGGCATCAGGCCAGCAACCTCATCCTGTAAAAATTAAACACTGCTACAGAAACTTCAAGCCACTAACGTGAGGCCCTATGTTCCACTGGGAACGTGAAGGGGAAAAAAAGATATATATATATATATATTGAAGAGTTAGTGAATGAATAATTAAATCCCTTAGCCGATTTCAAAAGAGAAACGTAATAATCAATTGTTGTAGCTACCACCACCCGTGTTATTTCCAAATTAAAATCGGTGAAGAAGTTTAACAGTTTAAAAAGTCGATTTAGAAAGGTTATAAAGATAGTCAGACTGGATGACTGTCTTTGAATACTGAATAATAAAAATCGATATCGTATCAAGGTCAACCACAACGACAGCTAAATTAAATTTGTGAAAATTCTGTTAACTTTATTCTGCCGGCATTCAGAAACTAGACACTATTATGTGTCACAATGAGCATGAAACTTTAGTCCACGGTTTTACAATAATTGGTGCCATCTATTCTGTGCCATGTAGCAGAAATTTATTTATACAAGCCATAATAAGTTCATATAATGTATGGTCTGTTTATACTGAAAGCGGTATTAGTGCTTGCCAAAATAAAAAAGAACACAAATAAAAAGAGTCATTATATGACTTGGTATTTCTGTACCACAGGTCAAACTGCATTACCACACATTTTAAAATTAATTAATAATATATAAGAATGAAAAAGAGATTAAATGTAGAAAGCCTCATAACAAAAAGTTTTAAAGAATGTAAATATAAGAATTATATTGGTACAATTAAAAATTTGGAAAAAGCACAAATGCTTTTACTGAGCATTAACTTAAGTATGAAACTTTGTATTTATAAAGTCTTCCATGTTATTTAGTTTGTTTCACTAGCACATATTGACAAATATTTTTTTTCAGGTAATGGTGTTTTAAGCACACTCAAATCAAAGTTCGATTGTACTCAAAGCCTTACCAGTCATCTGTCTAAGTTTTTTGACTTCTGACCAGATTATCATCGATTTAAACGGTGTTTTATTAACGAAAACTACAGCAAACAAGTTGTATCAATAAAATGTATGCCACAGATATGACTGACTAAGTTTCAGATAAACTTACTTATAAAGCTATGATCAGTGGACAGTATTATAGAAAGAAGATGCTTTTATTAAAATTATCCTAATGACTGATCCGTGTGTCCGTGGCACAGAGGTAGGATGCTCTCCAACCACATGGTCAAGTGATCCGATCTTCGATCCCCAACCGATGCACTCCCAAACCTCGCTAAGTCGGTAGTAGGGCCGGCAAGAAGGGAAGGCTGGACATGAGGCTAGCAAACCTGTCCCGTAAAAAAAATAAAAACACCACTGCGACCGAAACTTCAAGCCTCCAGCTTGAAGCCCTATGTTCCACTGGGTACCTAAAGGAACTAAAATGATTGATTCGAGTGCAGATACCAAAATTATGAACAAAACCGATGGGAAGAGTATGCCTTCTTGCTTTTAATGACTTTGCATTCAAAATAGACATATCAAAAACGTAATCGGAATGATCAAACCTTATGAAGCTTTCGACCCATGTTATTTACATAGTGGATAGGTCGTTCTGTGTTATACCTTCTCATCACTTCACGCTACATCAATAATGTCATTAGCTCTGTGAATCAAATGATTACAGAAAAGCATGGATATAAGCTTTTGAAGGACAGTTCCTCTGAAATTAGCATCTGATACCTCTTGTGAATGCTTCTAAATTCAAATATTTGAGAAGAAGAAAAGTATAATCGGACTGTACAGATTTTAAAGTGATTCCACAGGATTTCATCATGAGCTGACATCGGCTACAGAACCATTGGAAAACCTGGGAGTACTGGACACTTTCTTTTTTACCTGCTCATCTTATATTACTTAGATGTTCTTATGCTAACAACTGGTAGTCACGCCATAAAATCATACAATGCATAAATGTATCAGCCAACGTGTATCAATTGTATTACACTTCCTACCCCATGTTTCCTGTAAATCTAGAAGATAAATAGGATCTTATGTAAAATGTCACTACCTTACTGTTGTTCAAATTGATTACTTCCTCAATTACTTAATAACCTAAAATCGTGGAATTTTAAGTTCAGTTTCAATATCTACAAGAGGTGATGGCAATTGTAGTAGTCGTAACAAAGCGTCATAACTTTGGACTATTTGTACTGCGCAGGTGGCATAGCGGTTAGGATGCTCGCCGACCATGCACACGGTCCGGAGTTCGATCCCCGAACGACGAACTCCTTTACCTCGCTAAGCAAGAAATAATGCTGGTAAAGAGGAAAGGTTGGGCATCAGGCCAGCAACCTCATCCTGTAAAAATAAACATTGCTACAGAAACTTCAAGCCACTAACTTGAGGCCCTATGTTCCACTGGGAACGTGAAGGAGAAAAAAAATTTGTATTTGCATGTCAACCATGGAAAAACACAACATTCTAGGTGTGCTATTCATCTTACTCTTTTTGAAGAGAAAATGAGTAATGACCTTGTTTCAGAAAGTTATACAGCAACTGAATCAAGCACTCCTGATATATTTCAGTATAACATTGAGTAGATAAAAATATGACCCCGTGATCAGTTTAAAGTTACGCTGGAAAGTGGACTTTCCCAGTGTCAATATACTGCAGTTTTTGACGCTAAATTAATGGTAATCTTCTGTTCTACATATAAACAAGGATATAACTCTTAAACAGCTCTTCACTCTAGGAACACTTTTAAGTTTTTTGAAAGCAATACCTGTTTAAGCTTAGCTTCAAAAGTAGGCTAAATACAAACTATGGAATAAATGCAACGTTAAAGTTGGGAGTTTAAATCCACTCTGCAAATCAAAGGCAGTTGACTTGCTAGGTATCAATGTTACTGTTATGATTACCGAAGATAAATAGGTTAAACAGAAAAACAGGCTACCGGTATACGACAGGCTGCTAAGCGATTCAAATATATATTCGAATATCTGTGTTCAGTTCACTCTTCGATCTCAATACTAAAGTCATAGGTAAACAACATGTAGTTCTTTCAGGATTTCATCGTGAGCTGACATTAGTTAGAGAACCATTGGAAAACCTGAAAGTACTGGACAGCTATTTTGTCCTAGTTTGGGACTCTTCATCAGCACGCACCCACCAGGTACTCCCAGGTTTTCCAATGGTTCTCTAACTAATGTCAGCTCATGATGAAATCCTGAAACCAATCAAATCCCTACAAACCAACACTTGAACCTGTAGTTCTATTGAAAAACAGATACATCCAAAATAATTATTCTTTTTAAATGCTTAAGCTAAGGAATCTTTAACAGATAAGTAGTAGTCACTCTGAAGCAATTAGTTTTATAACTCTCTAAGCTTCGTATTCTACTGGCAGAGTTTGAAACTCCACTCCACTTGTCACAGTGGAACCTTCTCCACAAACAGGTGAACATAAAAATCTTTTCCTGAGTATCTGAAGCAATAAGAGTAAGTAAACTGTCAAAAAAGCGATGTTCACTGTTGAAAATATTCACCATGTAGTGCTTATTTTACTCACCTTTGCAAGGCTGCGTTTTAATACTTTGACAAGGTTTTGGTTTACCTTCACGAACACCACAATGGAAGATAATTATAAATAATGCACCGATTCCAGTGACAATTAATGCAACACTCCTGAATATAGGCAAATCTTCAATTGTTATCTTGTAGTGTACATTTGATGATGACTGACTATAACTGCCTTGTGTTTGATTCATTAAATTTACATTCTTTCCAACTTCATTCGACATTACTTCTGATATAAGCGTATGATTATGATTATTATCAATAACTAATTGCCGATGAAGAGAACTGGCTTTCTCTGACATAAAAAAGTAATAAGATACAAGTAAAGTGAACATGTCACCGATACCACTGAAGAAATATCTTAACGAAGCCAATAGTACTCGTTCATCATGACTATCAGTTAAATCATTTATAATTGATAAATGAGGAATTTGTATTGCTGCCCATCCAATCTATAGAGAAATGATACAAAGAGAAAGAAATAATAAGTAGTTCTTTTTTGGTACAATACTGTATACAGAAATTATACATAAAGATAAAGGTGTAGGTGTAAAAGACTTCTAAATATTTCCCAAGCATTTCTCTTATATTCCTAACACTAATCGAATTTGTTCTCCATCTTAATGACTGTTTTATTTGCCTTTATTCATGTTCCTCTAGTCAGACTGACAACATTTTAATTAACGCTGTAATAAGCTTTGGAAAATACTGGAAAAGCAGAGAAAGAAATTCTCTAATCAGACTAGTTTAGCCTTCATTTATTTGATAATCACATGAGGCAGTTTCCCTACTGTAATGTAACAAATAAAGATACCTGAGAATGCTGGCACAAGCGAAGTTTATCATGAATTTCCACCAACAATAACTTCTAGCATGACATTAAAACGCTTGCATCATTAGCTAGTAGCATTATTTATCCATAGGTAACTTTCGGAATAACGAGAAATTGTTGTATTCTTTTGGCGTCGGTGATACAGCGGTAGAATACTCGCCAACCGCGCCTCATGTGCTTCGGGGTTTGATCCCTGGCAGACTCACTCCCAAATCTTCCTAAACCAATAGTAAGACTGGTAAAGAGGGAAGGGTTGGATATGAAGCTAACAACCCCATCCTGTCAAACTAAACACCACTGCTATCGGAACTTCATAGCTCTAGCTTGAAACCCTTTGGGAACATAAAGGAATAAAATACCAATAATAATAAAAAATTTTATTCTTCACAGAGTATCTGAAAATGGATATTTTTGGTAATCATGTTACCTCTGATTCAGTACACATTCTGAATAACTTATCTCAATAACTTTATCTTAAATATTACATCTTTATTCCCCTAATGACTTTTAATGATTCTCACCACCTCTCTGATTTGAATTGCATAATCATTTAATCGCTTGTTCTTTCGTTCTTGAAATGCCATCTGTTTCTAATTCAATCTACTGAATTCAGTTTCGTAAAAATGTATACACTCAATTAATAGTAAATTAATTATAAAAATTAAATTTCTGCCAATTCGCGACATAGTGCAACCTGGGTTCGAATCCTGGTGGGTGCGTACTGATGAAGAGTCCCAAACTTGGCTGACGAAACAGCTGTCCAGTACTCCCAGATTTTCTAATGGTTCTCTAACTGATATCAGGTCATGATGAAATCCTGCAACCAATCAAACTCCTACAAACCAACACCTGAATATAAAAATTAAAGCCAGACTATAAAATATACGAGTAGAAGTAGTATCATAAGTCTCAATGATGAAGCTATTTTACTGTAAAGTTTAAAATATCAAAGAATTACTGGAGAAGACAAGGTAATTTAACAGTATTCTTGTACTTTATGTTCACTTGTGATAAGCTTCCAAATTAAAATTATCAGAAATAAATTAGTGAACTTAGTGGAAGACTCCATTAATATCTTCCTACAAGAAAATATCTTTCTCAGTGTCAACTAATCAATCTACTTGAAGATGGTGTTCATTCATGACGAATGATTTCTAAATAAAGAATCGTCAACCATGGTGACTAGCTGTGAATGGTTAAATATCAAAGCATACAAAGTACTAAACAGTATGTATATGTATTCTCTATTTTTTAAAAAGAGCATACATTCTCTTAATCTTTGCAAATATGAACAAGAAAATAGCAATCAAAAGATATGATATGAACTCATTCATATCAGCTCACATTGGAATAACACCGTCGATGAGAGGATACCAAAAGTGTCAGTGAATTCCTAAAATCCTGGTACTCAGATCCATATATAGTAAGTAGACATGTTAATTTACATGAAATCTACCAACCAATAAAGGATAAATGATATTATAAAAATATCAAGCATCATGTCAACGATACAGTCTATGTCAATTCAAGTGAATACAATAAAAAGAAAAGAAATCGGCGATAAGCAGTCACAGTGAAAGTCGCCTAAAGAGCTGAATATTTCAACAATTGCGGATTTTAAAAAAACCCGCATTCCATTGGGGTTATCGTTGAATATGTCCAGAAAAACAATGAAAGTCTTATGATTAAAATTCGCAGCTCAGGCATCTTAAAGTCTTGGAGTCAATTCAATCTAAATGACATACTATTGCAGCATCAAGTAACAATCCTTAAAGTTTATTATTTAGTCCCACTTTGATCTTCTTCTTAAAGAATAAGAAGACAAAGGAATTCGATGTAGTAAAAATTTTGTTTCAACTTTCAATTACAAACTGCTGACAGCATTTTTATTACTTATCTGAAAGAAAACCAAAGTTCCAGGAGCAACACACCTTAATAATCTCGGGATAAAGTTGGTTAAAGGAATAATATCATTTAGCAAACTACTGGAGAATAAGAAAAACATATGGAAGTCGTTCAGTCCTAGTCTGTGATATTTAAGTAATGGTCACACAGAACCACTTGAATGACTCACCGCAGCACCGTCAAGTTTTAAGGCAAAGCAGTCACCATCAATCCTACTAACTAAATAAAGAATTTCCATCTGACAAGATAACAGGTTTAATTGGTTGGAGGATTTAATCATGAGCTGACATCAGTTAGAGAGCCATTGGAGGACCTGGGAATACTGAACAGCTGTTTCGTCAGCCTAATTTGAGACTCTTCAGTACTACGCGCCCACCGGGACTTGAACCCGGGACCTTCTAGTTACAAGACTAGCTCGTAGACCATTAAGCCACTGAGAACCTATCCAATGGCCATTTCTTGGAATTCTGACTTCTGCCAACTCATGACATAGCGCGACCATTTCACAATGTCATCTTCGATGAGTCATTGCCTCACCGTCAACCTGCTGCATCCCACTGTTCACGGCTTCCTAATAGAACCGGTTTAAACTGAATCTCATCTTTCCAAATGATTAGTGACAAACTGCACCATAATGCATTACAGTATTCTAACAGTTTACAGCTTAGTGATTTTATTAACAATAAAGAAAGAAGTACAATATTTTTGAAAATGAGTACCCAAAACAGCATAACCCAAATAAAAAAATCAGCTTATTCATGATTTCGCATAGTTTATTGAGAGATTACACTCATAGGCTACCCTTTAAACTATATGTCCAAACTTTATCTCGAAATGAGATGATAGTGTGACATTGAGTAACCCTTAAACATTCAAATCACAGTTGTTTGTACAGGAGTACTTTTCTATATTAGCTTTAAGCTACATATTCTCTGTCTAGTACCACAAATACTTTTAACCAAAACAAAACAGAATTTTGTTTTTAACTATTCGGTTTAAATATTTGGAATCTATTTAACTTCAGTTTTGTTGTTCTATTTTTTTTATCTCTAAGATCATAGGTAAATACAAAAATATTTCGAGTAAAGTGCACTTAAGATACTCTAATATTTCAGCACTATGGTATTCAGAAAAAGAAAATCTAAGATTATCAGGAGTAAAAATGCTAAAACAATCATTGAAGTATGCCTTTTTTAGCGAATAAACTGAATATAATCTATCTGGATGAGTCAGGTAGTTGTATTTTAACCATTTATCAAAACTTTCAGGCAGATAAACTGTTTGTTCTCAAGGATTTGTTTTACTGTGGTAATAGAATCAATAAAGAGTAAGACATGAATCTGGTAAATATATGTACATGTAATGATTTAAAGTAAACAAATTTTAATAAGATTTTACATAGAACTCAGCTTTTCCTTCAATTGTACATCTATGCATTGGTTCGTCTCCTCTCTCGCCATCCTCCTTTCTTCTATTAGCTTTCAGGTGTCTGAAGGGAGCTGTTAGTTAGTTGTTTCGCCTCTTCTTTCCTTCTAAGACGGCTGTACATATTTCCTTAAACATTACCTTCAGAGAGTTAGTTCAAATGTTCTTCCACAGATGTTTCCTCAGTGATTCAACATAGTGTTATCGACTTTATTTTTGATCGGTAGTGAAGGAGTCCCTTCTAGTTTTGTCCTTCACTTTCTGAGTGTTGAACTTGAATCATTATTATCTGTCTCCAGTTGTTTTGAGGGATTTCAGCTTGAAGTAAAAAGGTTGCTTGGACCAGATGATGGTCTGAGCCCATATCTTCTCCTCTTCTTGACTTTAAGTCTAGCAATCTGTATCTGCACTTTCCTGATCAACATTCAGATAAAGTCTGTCTGATTTTGGCGTGTTCTTCAGGTGAAATCCATGTTGCCTTGTATATATCTTTGTGTTTGTACACGCTGCCTCCAGTCACCAAATCATAGGCGCAGAAATTCACAGAGTTCCGCATTCTCAATCATTTCAATGAGAGCCTTTCAAACCATGATGAGTTTTCTCCCTGTATTGTCTGCTCCCTGTTTAGCATTCATATCACCCATAAGTTTTTGATGTCACCATTTGTGGTCTTGTCCATTACTGTTTGCGATCGCCTGTAGAATTCAGTATTCTTCTCTAGTTCTCATCATAGCCACTCTCTCAGTGTATTCTTTGTTGTCGTCTGGGCGACCGGAGTAGATTACTGACTATCCAGTTGGCAAATACGATAGTCCACATATGTTCAGTCCGCTTTCTCAGATTTGTATCACTTATATACCATATCTTCTCGTTTCTTTGGCTACCTCGGCAGCCTTCTTAGCCTCGTACGCTGTATGAACATTCTACGTCATCATGCTTGTTTTTGCTTTCATCGAATGAGGACACATCGGCTGTTTGGCTTCCCGAAGCCTTTGACTAGCCCGCGTTATTCCGTCTCTCCGATTCCAAAGGAGAATAAGTTTGTTTTAAATATTTTTACGAGTTGATCACGCGTTGAAATCAGTTAGAGAACCATTGAAAACCAGGGAGTACTGGACAGCTGCTGTTTCATCCTAGTTTGAGAATCATCGACAGTACGCACCCACTGGGATTTGAACCCAGGACTGATATCCATCCGTGATCAACTTGTAAAAACACAACAAACCCTTACAAACCAAAACTATTGAATAGTTTTCTTGCGTTTTGGGGGTTTTCGTAGTAACTGGATTG